TCTGTTCATAAATATTACAATGAATATTTGTCTTCCTGCACTTTCACAGAGAAACACAAATGAAAAATGGATCAAAGATACCAGTTCATAAAAATCCCATGTAGTAAATCAGCCTGCCTCCCACATACCCATGCACACTTATTCTCACCCACATACACGCAAATATTTTATGGCAGGGGAAGACATTTAAATAAATATAGTAATATACAGTAATGCCAGTACAGGAGAATTCCCTTATTAGGCAATTTCCTGTCTTAAGAGACCACCTCAAGGTGTTGCCAAGTATACCAACCATCTTCATTAAGCCACTGATTTTTGTTGGTCCTGAAACTGGTTATCTAAGACAGGTTTCATTTGGCAGAATAGGATTATGGCCCTGATATTGAAAGACAGGTTAATCAGACCTCCAGTTTTGCACACAGTGTAATTCATGTAGGAGCAGCAGGGCCATATGAAGCCTATGCATTACTGAAAAGTGTAAGTGGAACTTATTTCATGTATAGATCCTTGGCCTTATCCTCTGTATCAGGAGAAATTTTACTCATAGAGAAGTGCAAGAGTATTTATTTATTTTTATTCATGCAATTTATGTGCTACCCTTCCCAACAAATGAGGCAGCTTACTAAGAAGAAAGAATAACTTTTTAAAATAGGAGAGTGACAAGAGAACAAACGAACTTAAAAAGAAACTGAAATATTAACATAAAATGAAGACCCGCTAAATAATATTTCAGCCTATATTTGTTTGCCAAATGCTTACCCAAATAGGAAGGTCTTATAGTCCTTCTGAAAGATGTTGGCATCTAAAACATCTGATCATTGGGTCTGAAGTGAAATTGGGATTCTAATCATCTATATCTTCCATATTTATAGGCATGAAATAGGTCTCTCATAAAAATCAGACCATGGATCTAATCTGTTGGTTATATTATTTATAGTAATGCTAGGTACAAACTGAAAAAGTCCTAAACCAATGTCTCAGGTGAGATGTTCTTGAGGGTAGGACTTGAATTTCATTCCCAAGTGGTAAAATTAAGAAATTCATTTGTGACAGAGCGGTCAGGAACGGAATTTTTCTTTTTCCCTTGGCCCAAGTGATTAGCAAATAGGCAAGGTTAAAAAATGTCAAAGGTCTGGATTGTATTTGGATAAACCCCAAAGGGTTTGCCAGTTTACCAGAAATGTCCAAATTCCTCCAGACTGCAGAATTAAGCTGAAAAACATACCCAGCAAGCAGGCTCTGTTGTGAGAATTCCAGTATTCTTGCTCATAGTTGAACCACAAAGCACTACAGAGCAGTTTTGATTGATTGATTGATTGATTGAAGTATTTTGCCCCATCTATTTTCCTTCCCACCCAGAATCTAGAAATGAAGAGAAACACAAAAATGAAAAGCCTTGGGGAAGGGTTCATTTGAGCTCTTCCAAATTTATCCAAAGCTTTTCCAAACAAGGCCACATTCTGCCTTCAGTTGCCCCAATGTAAATTTAGAGTAAGTCCAATGATTTTATCATGTTTTCTTCATTTATTCAGCCTAACAGTGGTGCCCCGTGCAGGAAGCTAAGTCCAGAATAAATCCAGTGAAATTCTACCAAAGTAAAACACATGTAAGCAGTATTAGCAGCCCCAAGTCTTCTGAAATGTCTGGGTCATGAGCTCAAAAATCATAATAGCAGCTTTAAAAGCATGTTTTAAAAGTTTGGGGCTCTTTATGTTTGTTTTGTTGTTTCTGAGCCTCCTGGTCTTAATTAGGTCACATTTTCAGATTTTGTCAACAAGGATGATGGCTAGAAGCTTACCTTAAAAAAAAAAAAAAAAAAAGCAACAGATAGTCTCTTTTTTCATCACACAACCAGAACTTTAATTGATGTACAAATTATTGTAAGACTTATGATAAAATTGTGAGCATTGACAGCACTGTCAATGAGAGGTCCATTTTATTTTATTCCACTTTTAAACTAGTTTTTTTAGCACTGTAAGTGACAACTGAATCAGGCCTATTGTCTTCAGGATGTAACTGGGAGTAGAATATGGCCTGTACAGTTCATTTCAGTCACTGATGAGCCTGAGTGGAGCTCATGCCAGCTACTTGTTAACAGAGCCCATTGCTGTGCTACTTGAAGAGAGAGCTTCATTATTATTGTTTTAAATAGGTTGCCAGCTCTTGTTGCAAAGAGAGCCTTCAAAATATCAAGTGGGAAAAAATAAATCAGTGGTGTCAAAAGCAAAACAGGGGGATTGGACTCCCTTTCTGTAGGAAAAACTGGAGTTGAGGATGGTGAACCTTAAGAACTCTCTCTCAATCCCCCGCCCTCTTTACACTCATACGCATGCACATACATACATTTTTTGAGTGAAACGTGTCAGGGTGTTTCCCAAAACGCCTTTAGTCTAGTCTTGTGCAGGGAGCTGTGATATGAACTGGTTTCAACTGAGGCAAGGAAGAAGTGGCAATAAAATAGTTCTCAAGTCCCTCCCATAAATGCTGAGCTAAGGTTGAGAGGGAAGACACAGTTCATGAAACCATTTTTGGTAGTCTAGTTTTTGGGGCCCAAGACAGCCTGGCCTTCCCTGGAGCTGTGCCAGGAATTCCTCCCGAACTTAATGCTAGAAGTAGAGGTAGGAGACCTGCTGCTGAATAGTCCTGAAGGATTGCCGGTGAAAAAGAGGCACTCCTAGATATCTAGAATATGAAGTAAAAATGTCTTTAATTTCATTTCAGCAAGTTTATAATATGGCAGCACTTACTGGTAGAGCTGGCAGGAAATAACCAACTATTTTCTTTGTAGGAATTCTTTCTTTAAAATATTTTTTCCTGTGGGAATACAAATGCAGTAGGTTTTCTCCTGTATTTTCATGAGTTTCTTTTCTGAAACAGAATCTGAAAACTGCTACTGAAAACCAAAAATAAATAAATAAATACACTGGAAAAAAAAAGTGACCAAAACCCAAAACATTTCACTGAGAATGTTTCTAGTCTGCTTTTGGTTAAAAAGTGGGGAAATATCCAGTGTGAAAGTATTCTGCAAAGATCTCTATTTTGGTCAAAAGGCTTTTTTTTTTCTGCCAAAAAAATGTCAACAGTCTCCACCTTTTCAGAGGTGCCGAGTTCCTGTAGTTCATTTTGAAATGAATAAGGAGCTATAAATGTTTGGCACCTATGAAAATCGGGCCTGTGAAACCCAAAGCAAAGCTACCCAAAACTTAGCTGCACTTGTATTGCCCAGATGAGGTAAAGAATTAAAGAATGTATCAGCTTCAAGTCTCACTCCCCCATCCCCCAGTGCAATAAAAGCACAAAAGGCAAGCACATTCCTCTTCCTCTGTTATGCTATAGTACCCTCCATGCTTTTTTTTACGCAGCGGTACATCTAGGCACTCCCTATAGGATGGCTTTGAAGACTTTGAAGGGGGGGGTGAAAAACTGATCGCCTTTGGCCACTCCATGGCATGCTGTGCTGTAGGAGTTCAGCCTGAGTAGCACTATACAGACATTAGAGTGGGGCCTCTTGTTCCACTTGCATTATTAAGAGTTATCTTTGAGCTGTTGAGCCTTTTACACCATGCATAATTGGGAAGGTGTGGGGGCAGGGAAAACTTTGCCCACCTGTGAACATTTCAGGGCAGGCTAAGCCAGTAGGAGGGAGGGAGAAAGAGGGCTTCATTGTGTCCAGACGCAGAACTTCCTCCTATGGTAGGAGGCGTTGCTTGGCTCGAAGGGGCCACACAGAGCGTGGATCTTAGTGACAGGGAACCGCATGTAGGATTTGGAGGAGTGAGTAGCAGAGAGGGAGTGGGAAGGGGCTGGGAAGGAGCATGAGCCCTAGACGGAGAGGGGTGGCTGTGTGGGGAAAAGGGTGAGAAAAGAACCCAGGAAGGAAAAAGAGAGAGGGAGATTTTATGGGGATGGGGGAGAGTTATCCTCCCCTCCCTACCCTCACCAAATTCCCATGGGCACAACTTGATCGGGAAGAGTTTTTGCCAAACATATGATGAACAGGCAGAAGAATGGGAATAAAGAAACAGGAGGAATGGGTGTTAGGAAAGCAAGCTAAGACAATCCAGCCTGCAGGCAGCGGCAGCAGCTCTTGTCACTGACAGCCAGGAGGGGAGCCCCTTCAGAAGGACTGATTTAGGCATCAGGAAATGACAAGAGCCATAAGCAAAAGGAGGAAAAACGGAGGGACTGGGGGGAGGGGGATAACATGAGGGACAAAAGCCAAGAGCAGAGGTTTGCATTTTTTTGAGATTAAAAAATATTTCTGGATCGGCCGGGTCTTCAAATGTTTTTCCAGGGAGCTCCTGATCCTCATGCCTGCTTCAGCTGGAGATTCAAACTGGCAGCAAACTCTGTTCTTCCTTTACCATCTCTTCACCCTTTCTCTCTGCCCCTCCCCCACAGCATGCTGAAACAGCCATGTCTTCGCCTAGAGCTTCACTGACCCCATTTGAGCCTAAACAGCTTCCCACCCACTCCTCCCAAGGCATTAAAGTATTTATTTAGGTGAGGCCCAGCCCCCCAGATTGCGCCTCTGGATAAAGGCCTTCTCAGCTCTAGGAATATTTCAGTCCTTTATCACATGCACATCACTGGGGGAAACTGGCCATAGAAGCTGCTTTTGGATGCATGGTTTTGACAAGAAGCTATACATCAAGATGCAAGACATGGTTTTGCTTACAGGCTGCAAAGACACAATACAAGCACTGTGAATGCAGGATTCACTTCAGGGTGGTTACAGCGTCCCGTGGCATGCCTGAGAACAAGTTTTGTAGCCACAACTGGAGGAAGCAGTCAATGTTCACGGAGTGTCAGATAATCCACTGTGACACATGATCCAAAAACATAAGGTTGACGAATATTCCTGGCACTGTGTTCCAGTGTTGAGAGCAGATTATGCATTTGAAAAATGTTTGATGTTCTTTCAACACTGAAAAAGCCATTTTGGATAACAGATAGCTCTGAAGATATTTTAAATAATCATTTTTACCACTGGGGTTTATCAGTGCAGTGTTTTGAAAAGCAACACAGAAGGCAGGAGACTCTCTAAGGACCCAGTTCTGATTTCACTTATACCTATTTTTATCCAGAATTACTCCATTAAGACACATGGAATTTACTCCTGAATTAAGTTGAGGTAACTGAGAACTGAATTTAACAACTTTAAAAGTTTTTTTTAACAAGTTGAACTATTTTCACTGCTCAACTGTTGCTATAACAAGAGAAGTTTTGCACATTTGGGGCCAGATCATCAGTAGATCAGTGTTACTTTCTGAAGTCAGGGGAGTTCTGCATATAAAGCTCAACTAAGGATCTGCCACTTTTGGTTTGCCCAAGGAAAATCTAATAGCACAGGGGTTGCCAACCTGTAGTACGGGCAGCCTCTGTGTGTGGCACTTGGCAAATAGGGGAGGAGGTAGGCAGCACAGCGGCGGATTGGCTAGGGCACTCAGGGCAGGGAACTGAAAACAGAGTAGCTGATCAGGCAGGAGAAGGTATCAGAGTGGCAACTGGGAAGAGTGTGGGGCTAATTTGTGGCACGTCTGCCTTAAAGGTTGAGCCCCACTGAACTAGCAGATGGGCCTCATCTTGCAAATCCTTACTTGGAAATAAAGTTTATCCCGTAAGCAGTTTTATGCAAGTCAGGGGGACTGTCCATGTCAGAACTGTTCACTTGAGTAGCAGGATTATTCTTAGTGTGAATGAGTGAAACACCTTTAGTGTTATTGGACTTTTAAATCTGTGATAAATAGAAGCCATATGCACTGCACTGGGAAACAGTGACTCCATAAACACAAATCCAGTCAGGAAATTGGGAGCCAACAAAGGGCAGCTCTGGGATTGTATTTACCAGGTTTCCAACACTGCATTAGGACTTGAAGTGTCTGTGCCCCTGAAAAGCTAAGACAACATGAACATTTTTTCCTTTCAGCCAATTGCATTTCCTACTGAAGGCTTCACTCTGCTTTTCCTGCCCTGCTGGCAGTGAAAATGTGCCAATCTCATTCTCAAGGCATGGTTCCTGTTGTGGGATCAAATGTTAGGATTTTAAAAGCTAAAGTTTGATGTGGATGAACAACTGCCTATAAAACATATTAAGCTCTTACTCTGTAATGTATTTAATTTCACACTGACTGATGGTATTGCCTCTGAATAGATTGCGGCAGGGGGCTGCTATTGTCCTGCTAAACCACGCTGGTTAAATAATACTTTGGAGTCTAAAGCTGCTCCAGGAGCATTTCATATTAGCTAAGATGTGAAATGAATACCTAGCTGTTTTGCAAGTACTTTGACTTGGTTAAAAATAAATACATGTTGAATTGGTTTACAGTGCAGCAGCCTCTTGCACCTCAGGGCTGGGGTTTTGCCTCCAGTAAAATTTCTGCTGCCCCTTGTCAATTCACAAAAGGACACACTGACCCAGATCCTGTGTGATGCTGAACAGTTTCACCGACCTTAGAGGGATTTGAGTTCTTTGCACCTCATAGTACATACTGAGCACCTCCCAGGACTTTCATTTAAGCTTACTCCTTGCAGGTGCTTGAGTATAGTTGCTTGATGTCAAGTCTACCCCTGTGTCCAAAAGGTCAGATACTTAAGCACTGCTTAGTGTAAGATATGATAACATTTCCTGTGACATTCACAGGGCTCAATTACTTTGTTTCTGTTTTCCTCTTTCCTTTTGGAACTCCTTACAGCTTGAAGATATTTTCTTCAGAAAATAATTCCTCACTCAGGGCCTCCTTTTCCTGTGTCTTGCATGGGAATAAGTCAGGAGTTACTCCAGTGGAATTATACCTCTATAAGGAAGAGCAGGCTCACCTGCCCCAACTAGGCTGAGCAATTCCTCCAGAGTTAGCAGTTTCCATCTAAGTGTAGAGGTTTATGAATTTCTCCCCTCTTTGCATGACGTAACTGAAAGTAAAAAATGATTTCTCAAGTCCATGCAATTAAACACAGAATTCCATGCTCTTTTGAGGACATAATTTTAAGACATATAGTCTATAAAACAATTATCACTTGTGGCTAGGAGTTTGGTCACTTGCTATGTGCTAAAATACAAGCTCACCTTATTAATGATAAGCTTTGCATATTTTTTGAAGCATGTATCAATAAAAATTCAAAGACTTTTTTTTTTAAGTTACTATGTTTAAGAAAAAGTTAAGGAGGTATTAAAGCTTTACCAGTCTTTTTTTTTCCCCTTCAAACCGCAGCAGAGCCAGAAAAGAATGCTGGAAGTCATCGGAGGCATGGTTGGGATAGAGAGTGTTAATTCTGCCATATCTAAGCCTCTTTGTCGAAATTCCTTTTGTCTCTTGCACCAAGTCATTAAACACTAATCCCATCACTCTTCCTAATCCGCTGCAGTGGAGCCAGAGTTCAGTTTCCGAAACTGTCTTTGTTGCTTTCCTAATAGACAGCTTGCTCTGGATTTCAGTTGGTTCAGTCACATTTACAGCTTCCCATTGCAGTTCTTTAATGAAGTGCCATTAATGAATCTTTTCCTCCTTCATGCAGTGTGCTCGGGCATCAATTGGTTTAGTGTTAAGTAGGGTAAGGTGCCTAGTCATCTTAGAAGCCTTTGCAAAATATGACTGTCAAAGGCAAAACCTAGGAAACAAGGCCATTGAAGACCATAACCACTGAAGTACTCATTTAATTACTAAGGATTTACAAAAGAAAATCTGCTCTTTGTGGCTGACAAAAGACAACAAACTAAGAAAAGATAGTAAAGGTTTCCCCTCCCAAATCCTAGCAGAGGAAACATGGCTGAGCAAAGCCATCAGAGCATGCTGTAAACTCTTTCTGACTTGCTATCTAAGCATTACCTTTCTAAATATTAGGGATTCCACTTGCTGAAACAGACTTCTAGTCTTGACAGA